TCATAAATCAGAAATCGGGAAACAAATTTTGGATAGAGAGATTGATTATAATCCATGTCTCATGTTTATACAATATCTTGTAGAATGGAGGAATATTTGATCACTTATCTTAGGACACGTAACTGACTGGGTCAGAGTTCGACAACAGCTTTGAGAGCTACAATTTGCTGATCAATTTTAGAAGTTATACTGGCAACTATAGTTATTAGACTTATCTAAGTGGGAGACTGTTGGATTAGGTGTCTAAGCCCATAACTATAATTGGTATATACTTAAATTGATAGTAGCATAGACCTTTTGGGTTGTCCTCAAAACTAACAACTAGACATATGATTTTGGAGAATGAGGTTGATTTATTATTTGATAATAATGTGAAATAAATAATTTGTTAATATATTATGAGAATAATATATTAATTAGAAATAGTTATTTAGTTAATATTTAATCATAAATTAATTGGAATTAATTTTGGGGTTAAAAGAATTAATTAAAAGTACAGGGACTGAATTGTAATTGTTCAATAGTTGACCAAGATGCAATCTAGAACCATCCATAAGGTGGGACGATTTCTTGGAGTCGAAGGGTTCTAGAATAATCCCTAATGGATAATCAAGAAAGTGGATAATTACCCGGTTTAAGATTATCTTGGATTTGAGCTTATCTAGGGTTTCCTGACTGCACTATAAATAGGGTTGTAACCCTACGAATTTCAGTCAACCTTTTTTCTTTAGAAGACCTAGCCGAAAGTTCCATCCTCTTTCCTCTTTCTCAATCATCTTCCATAGCTAGTGTTGGGTATGAACCATTAGAGGCATGACATTTGTGACGTTTGCTCTCAAGGCTTCAACAACACAAGGATTTCGATTGCAATTACTATATAGTGATCAAGGTATGTTCTAACCCCATTTGTGAATTTCGAATTCTATAGGAGCATGCTAGGGTTTTCTTTTTGTTGTTCAAGTTGTATGTTCAATTAGAGAAAACGTAGATCAATTTATTTAGGGTTACATGCACACATAGGATTGTTTGTTATGCTCAAAACCCATCATTTAACACATAAATCACATGTGATTAAATACATATAATCATATGTGATTATATGTATCTAATCACATATGATTTATATAAACAAGATCCGTTAAAACACATCTTTTCCAAATAAATCACATATAATCACGTGGGTAGTAGGTAATGGTGGGTGGTGGGTGGTGGGTGGTGGGTGGTGGGAGATGGGTGGTAGGTGGTTGGTAGGTAAGTGGTGGTGGTGGGTGGTTGCTTGCGGTGGAGGGTGGGCGGTGGTGGTGGGTTTAACTACATATGATTATATATATTTAATCACATTCGATTTTTGTAGACAATATTCATTTTGCGTTTTTGATTCAATATTTGGTATCGTGTATTTAATCACATATGATTATATGTTTTTAATCACATATGATTATATGTTTTTAATCACATATGATTTATGTGGAAAATATTTGTTTTGTCATATTCTTGATTCAGTAGATGTTCTTGCGTATATGAATTACATGTGATTATATATATATATATATATATATATATATATATATATATATATATATTTCATAACATATGATTTATATTAACAAAATTCATTTTTGTCCATATAAATCATATGTGATTAGATACATATAATAACATGAGATTAAATACAAGAGAAAAATTATTGAATCGAAAGAGCAAAAATAAATCTTGCCTAAATAATGATATGTGATTGGATACATATAATCACATGTAATCATATATGGTTTATGTGGATACTACTCATTTTCCCGTTTTTAGTTCAATAGTTTGTCTCAGGTATTTAATCACAAGTGATTATACGTATTTAATCACATATACTTTGCATGATATTATTTTTATTTAAATAATACTAACAAGTTAATACATCTTAGTTATCATCGTACAACGAATGAGAAGGAAAACGGGTGACAAGTTACGCCGCTAAACCTTTTTGTATGGTAAAGCCAATTCTTTTGAAGACTACATCCATAGATCTAGAGGGTATAACATTGTTATGCATGATCCGTTGTACTCTACTAAGAAGCTCCACCGCATCCGGCACAAGAAAACCAAACGTATCAAATGCAAATGGTATGAACACGTGTTGATTTTCCATACACTGTTTCTCATGTTTGGTGACCTTGCATGTAGCAGCTTTTAATGCAGCCTGTCCCGCTGTGAAACCCTCAGTCCTCAAGCCTACGAGAGGGGATACCCCCGTAAGGTCCACACATGCGTGTTTCCTTCCAACCCATCCAAAAATCAAAACGTCATTCGGTCTAAGGGATAACCTTCCTTTTGGATAAGTCAGGAAATTCACCCCAACCTTTTTCTTGGCGGAAACCCCGACACGCTTTAATATGTCGACAAAAACATCCCTAACTATATCGTGCCTGTATTTGAACCCTGTGAGTTCTTTGCAATGAACTGCATGCTCTCCAAAAGAGTCCAAACATGCCTTGTGGCACACCGGACATATCTCGTTGGCTGGGAATATTGGAATCATGAGTCGGTATTTAAGAATGGTACGATACTCCACAGGAGACATATGTTGGCCCAACCCATCTATAGGGATAGGTAAAAGAAAATCTTGAGCATGTGGTGCACATAAACATTGAATAACTGCTTTTTGCCGAGCAGTCATGTGGAAATGGACTTCCATATCTTGGACAATTTTACTAAAAAGGGCACTCGCTAGTGTATTCTGGGATTTAGGGGGGCGGTGTCCTTAGTAGAAAAACTGCTAAGGTCAATGTACGGAAGCTTGTTATGAAGAGAAGCTAAGGCACAAGCATAATCAGAACCCATACCATAAATGTCGTTATCCTGTAAGATGTGGGCTTGCAATACCTAAGATTGGGCCTTTGAGGCAACAAAAGCATATAAGGTAGCCTCTACTGCTGAGTATAAACCCAGACCACCAAACTGAATGGATAGGGAAGCAAGTCGCCACTGTATGTCGCCAAAGAAAGGGCCACCACAAACCACAATGTCCTCAATCGCCCCACGCAACCCATTATCGAAGAATAATGCCGCCTCCTCCATGTGAACGGGTTGGCGCGTCCTCAACCTAAAGAAAAGTTTAGCAATGCCCATACAAGACAGAAGTAGAAGGAGCTCACTCTGCGGATCAGGCAATTGTGGAAGAAGGCGCATCAAATTCACAGTGTTTTCAGCTCTCTTTATGGCTAAGCTGCTAATGAAACTAGCATCAATACTAACAGCTCCCCCGAGAAGTTTAACCCCCAATGGCGGCCTCCCGATACCAACAGGGAATAGCCCCTTACGCAGCTTCCTACCATCACACGAGGGCCAAAAGAGCTCCATTTTCTTGATATTCAACTGAAGGCCCAATTTTGGGCCAATAACCTTATGATTTATATGGAAAATATTTATTTTTGCGTTCTTAATTTAATACTTTTTCCCGTGTGTATAATCACATGTGATTATATCTTTCTAATTGCATATGAATTATATACACACGGTTTGATTTTGTCCATACAAATCATATGTGTTTAGATACATATAATCACATGTGATTAAATGTATTTAATCACATATGATTAAAGTTGCTAAAGAACAACTATATAATCAATAACACAAAAACGAATCTTGTCCATGTAAATCATATGTGATTATATATATATATATATATATATATATATATAATCACATGTGGTTACATGTATTTAATCACATATAATTATGTGGAAAATATTCATTTCTCATTTTCAATTCATTAGTTGGTCTCGTGTCTTTTACCACATGTAATTATACGTATTTAACCGAATATAATTTATATGGAAAATATTTGTTCTTTAGTGTTCGTAATTTAATAGTTGTTCTCGTGTATATAATCATAAGTGATTACATGTATCTAATCGCGTATGATTTATAAAGAGAAGATTCGATTTTATACATATAAAGCATATGTGTTTAGATACATATAATCACATGTGATTAAATGTATTTAATCACATGTGATTAAAGTTTCTAAAGAACAACTATTAAATCAAGAACGCAAAAATGAATCTTTTATAGATAAATCATATGTGATTAGATACATATAATCACATGTGATTATATGTAACTAACCACATAAGATTTTTATGAACACTATTCATTTTTGCATTTTTAATTCAATAATTATTCTCATGTATTTAATCACATGTGATTAAATACATCAGAATAACTATTGAATCGAGAACACGAAAACGAATTTTGTCCATATAAATCATATGTGATTAGATACATATAATCATATATGATTAAATACACGCGGCCTACTATTGAATCGACAACACGAAAATACATTTTGTCTACATAAATCATATATGTTAGACATATACAATCACATGTGATTATATGTGTGTAATCACATATGATTTATGTGAACAAGATTCATTTTCGTGTTATCGATTTAATATTTGTTCTTGTGTGTTTAATCACATGTAATTATATTTATTTAATCAAATATTATTTATTTGGACAATTTGTTTTCGCATTCTCGATTCAGTAGTTATTTTTGTGTATTTAATCAATGTGATTATGTTATTCACATATAAATATTAATGACAATATTTTTTATTTTTTATTTATTTAAACAAATGTTGATTTTAAATAATCACATGCAATCAATCGTGACTGAACTTGTTGACGTTGCCGGTTTGCAACAATCTGAGTAGCATCTTTGCGAGCCTATGAAAGAAATTCAAGTTTGCAACTTAACTTAGTCGAATCAGAAGAATCATATAGATATTTAAATTGTAATCATCCCAAAAGTGTAGAATGCAAAAACCATGATTATTGGTGATCGGTGAACCATGATATAAAGATGCTTACTTCTAAGTTTAACTTTGGGAGACAAACTATCACAAAGTGGAGTGTATTTTCTTTGAAGAACTCTTGGGTCAATTAAGGACAAGCTTCAAATGCAGACTCAACTTCACTATTCAGATATAGAATTTGCTTTAGCTCACGGAGAAGATGCAAGGCTGCAAACTGGAAATTCAAAACATGTTTTCCTAACAGCAAAATGCATTAGAAAAAAAAAACAGCAGGGGGTTAGAACAAAACAGGAGAACGAACAAAAACAAAATACAAAATTGAAGCTAATAATACATGTCCCACTAAAACAAGATTGCAAAATAGGAAATGAAAACACAAGCCATCAGCACCAATAGAAAACTCTTGAGGGGATACCCCTAAGGGTAATTCCGTCCAAATATAGCCATAGATGGAAAAGGCTAACCTCTTAACTAACTCAATTGAGAAATCTATAAATTAGCTCCCAAAGTTCAACTAGGACCCTGGGAGGAGGCGTCAACAGGCAAGAATCTCCAGCCCAACATCAGGGGAAAAATGGTAAATATGCAATATTTTAGAAAAAATAGGAGTGCATCAGGAGAGACAAGGTACTGGAAATTTTATAGATCCACCAACTCAAACCTATGAAGCTTCACAACACCTTGAGAGCTCTACCCGAAGGGAAAAAAGGTCAAACCATCGCCAAACTGTGGAGGTCAGGAAGTCAGACTAGTGAGAATAATAGCAAAAAAAACCAACTGTAGACCTCTTTTTTAAAGTCTCTTGAGGAGATTGCCCATTTGAACACACCAACACCAATTGGGCATCACATTGAATCATATCCGCAACCAAACTAGAAGGCTATGTGGGGTATATTTCCATTAGCCTTGGATAACACCAATCCAAGAACCACCTTGGACTTTACAACTTAAGACTAATGCCTACAATAATTAACTTTATTCCAGCCCACCCACTTCTAGAACGAAGATCAAGTAGACGATTTTCCCATCCACCCAATCAACAAGATTATATAACATGAGGAATAGATAATAAATTTGTAACTTGCCAATTTTGTGAGACGAGAAAAGTTGAAACAGATGCATACATAAGTCAATAACCATTGTAGTCTCATGAGGTTTTAAGTAGATGATTTGCCCCTCCACCCAATCAACAAGAAGCTTAAATAACAAATACACAACTACAAACTAGACAAATCCTAGAATCAGCATATGGAAGAAGTACAGATGAAGATATAAACTCAATAATAAATGATAATAATATTCAAAGTTATACATTATTGGTGAATTGACTTATATTAACCTTTGATCGCTAGACTAATAAGGTTAATACCTCATCCTTGTAAACCTCAGTAAGTTTAAGAATCGACTGCATCACTGAAAATCCCATATCATAAGGTGACATCTGTATCCGTGGTTCTGAAGCACTTGAGGCTCATCGAAGTCGCTCCAATAATTAAGTCACCTTCAAAAAAGTAAAACAAAATGATTCAATCAAATTCAAATTCAATATAAAGAGAATGGATTTGAATCAAAATTGAGCTAAATCGAGTTCAAAATTTCATCCTACAAAACCCTAACTTATAGATCAATTCGGATGATTTATCCTAATTCTTCCATTTTTGAGAATCGAATTAGAAAAATTGGTGACTAAAACAATAAAAACCAGAAAACACAACTAAAAGTACAAACAACCGATTTCGAAAGAGGTTTATAGTAAAATTCATCATCAATCAGGCTTGAATGAGCTGTAAATTGTGCATTAGATGTAGACTTGGGGTATGGTACTTTTTTATTTATATAATTAGTAATACATACATAAATAAAAGTTAAATTATAAAATAAAATGTATGGTCCAAATTTGTTCTCAAATGTTCTCGGAATAAGGGATGTTCTCGATTGAACAAACTTCTATATATATATATATATATATATATATATATATATATATATATATATAATCAAGACGTAATAGGTAATTGTGTGGTAATAAGAAAAGGGTCTGCGTCTTTTATAGAGAATCTTATCACATCGATCCCTCTTCTTATTCTTTATGTATTTCCTACAACTTTCTTCTTAAATTATTGTTTGTTTTCCTGGTTTGTATCCAACAATAAATAGATATTTTAAGATGGAACAATTTTATGACATTGTATAAAGGGTGGAATGAGTCTTCCCTCACAAACTCACTTAACTTATGCGACATCAGCTAATTATCAACTTTTCTATCTACTCCTTTCTCATCCCACAACAAATGATACATTTATCAAACCACTCAATTAAAAACATACAAAACAATATAATGTACAAGTATTTATGCATGAAGAACAAGTACCTAATATTGAGAGAACAGAGAAAGAATCTATAGAGGGGGAGAAAATGAATGGGTTGCATATGCCGTCAAACAACAAGCCAGCAGTCCCCTGAGATACTTGGATTCGTGCCCCCTGCAGTATCACCAGTACAGTTGAACCAACCTCTTAACCTTCAAGCCACTCCATCCAGCCTAATATATTTATATCCCTCTTTTTCTTTAACATTGGCTCCCAAAAGTATCAACATCACCACCACTGTCGGATCACCACCATTGTCGGTCTACCCCTTTTCTTCTCTCTTGTTATAGATTCGGGAAAGAAACCTACCACACCCCATCATTTTTTCCTAAATCGGTGCTAGAGCCTATTTCTTGTAATCAATCATGGTTTTTTTCAGATCTGCTCTCATCGGAAAAACAAAAGAGTAAAAGGGGTTGTTGCTAAAGTATAGATCTACGAATGAAGAAGAAATAATAGAGGATGCCATCGATAGTCAAATGAAGATTTGGATCCTAGATGGTGCGGTGATAGTGAAGCGTAAATCGTGATGGTTGCGGGCAAGTGGTGATAGTCGACTTGAGAAGAGATAAGAGAGGATGAGAGGTTTTTCTTTGTCACCCTCTAGTCAGAGTATAGATCTATGAACTGAGAATAGAGAATAAAGGATGGCTTCGATTATCAAACAAATATTTAAACTCTAGATGATGCAGAGATGGTGGCGCGTAGGTGGCAATGGCGGCGTGCAAGTGGCGACAAGTTGACTGGATAAGAGATAAGAGAGGATGAGAGGTGTTTCTATGCTACCCTCTCGTCGGAGTGCAGAGCTGCAACCCTCTTTTGCAACTCCGGTATCGATGTTCCCTCCGTTTATTTTGCCCTCTCACACACACACGCACACAAGGTTTGTGTATGTTTTGTACTTCTCTCTTCGATGAGGTCATCGACTCTGGTGACTGAAAGGGGGTTTGAAAGAAGTGGTTCCTGGAGGTTTGAAAGATAGAGAAGAGAAATATGACAATTATATAAGCCATTTTATTTTAAAAAATTATAAGTAATATAAATAAAATAAGATAAATTATAAAAAAATGGAATAGAAATAGAATATGGCAATATAGTCATTTATATCTGCCATGGACAAAGTACGCAACAACTAGGGAAATAAAGAACAGTCTAAGTTAATTTTAAAAAAATAAGAACAAAAAACACAATCTACTCTAATAAATAAAGATGTTTTTGTCACATATTATACTCTCATTCATTTTGTCACATGTCATTTTGTGGTTATTTTAAATTAATTTTTTTTTTCACATGTCATTTTGTGGTTTTTTCCATTTTATGAAATTCTACATAATATTTAAATGTAATAATTACAATAAATGTAATAATAAATAAATATCAATTTCATTATTGAACTTACCTTCTAATTTTAAAATTCGTAAATTAGAGCCTCATTAATTTTTTTGTTTTATTATCTAAATTATTTGTTTAAATTTAAAAAGGAAGAAAACATTTTAATTTTAATAATTCAATATTTTCTTATAAATTTAAACATTTTAAATATTTAGACATTTATATTTATTTATTTTTAAATAAACTTATGTATGAGTTTCACAACTAGTTTAACGATTAAACTAGGAACGAATCATGTAATTTACTCAATTTAAAGTGTATTTTGGTCGTAAAACAGAGAAATATATGAAGAATGATTTTTTTTTTTTGGGGGGGGGGGGGGGGGGGGGGGGGGGTGGGGGGGGAGTTTTATATTTCATAGTGGATCTCGAAATTGTTGGTTATTTCTGTAAAAAATGAAAATGATATTTTGTTAATTAAATATGTACCTACGGATTAGCTACGGCGTATACTTTCCGTTAGAATTCCGTAGCTAATCCGTAGCTAATTAGCTACAGATTAGCTACGGATTTTTCTTTTTTTCGATTTTTCGGGAACCAAACGTCGTTTTTTTTGCTTCGTTTTTTAACACCTCTAATATACATGATTATCTATATTTTCACCAACTTATAGCTATTAATATCGTACATAAAGTCGTGTGCCCCGTCGGGATCAAATACTCGTTTCACAGTTTAACATTGTAATGACTATACTTTTCACCAACTGGTGATGGATTATGTTTGTATCTGTATATTTATATACATGAATGAGTTGTGGTATATGTGTACATGTATATGTGTATGTATAAGTGTTTGTGAGATGTGTGTGAACGTATACATAAGCATTATAGTGTTAAACCACTAAACGAGTAATGGATCACGTACGTCCACACGACTTTAAGAATGATATTAATAGCTATAAGTTGGTGAAAATATAAATAATCATGTATAATAGAGGTGTGAAAAAAACGGAGCGAAAAAAACGAAGTTTGGTGCCCAAAAAATCGAAAATAAGAAAAATCCGTAGCTAATCCGTAGCTATATAGCTACGGATTAGCTACAGATTTTTCTTATTTTCGATTTTCGGGCACCAAACGTCGTTTTTTCGCTTCGTTTTTTTCACACCTCTACTATACATGATAATCTATATTTTCACCAACTTATAGTTATTAATATCGTTCAAAAAGTCGTGTACCCTTCGGGATCAAGTACTCGTTTCACAGTTTAACATTGTAATGCCTATACTTTTCACCAACTTGTGATGGATTATGTTTGTATCTGTATATTTTTATACATGAATGAGTTGTGGTATATGTGTACGTGTATATGTGTATGAATACGTGTTTGTGAGATGTATGTGAACGTATTCATAAGCATTATAGTGTTAAACCATTAAACGATCACGTATGTGCACACGGCTTTAAGAATGATATTAATAACTATAAGTTGGTGAAAATATAGATAATCATGTATAATAGAGGTGTGAAAAAAACGGAGCGAAAAAACGACGTTTGGTGCCCGAAATATCAAAAACAAGAAAAATTTGTAGCTAATCCGTAGCTAATTAGCTGCGGATTAGCTCCGGAATTCTAACGGAAAGCATATTCCATAGCTAATCTGTAGCTAATTACCTACGGATTAGCTACGGAATATGCTTTCCGTTAGAATTTCGTAGCTATCTAGCTACGGATTAGCTACAAATTTTTCTTATTTTTGATTTTTCGGGCACCAAACGTCGTTTTTTTCACTCTGTTTTTTTGACACCTCTATTATACATGATTATCTATATTTTCACCAACTTATAACTATTAATATCATTCGTAAAGTCGTGTGCACATACGGGATCCATTACTCGTTTAATGGTTTAACACTATAATGTTTATGAATACGTTCACATACAACTCACAAACACGTATACATCATCATCATCATCATCATCATCATCATCATCATCATCATTATCATCATCATCATCATCATCACCATCACCATCACCATCACCATCACCATCACCATCATCATCATGAACCAACTCGACGAGTTCGTTAATTGTCTGGTTTGCCACTGTCTGATATGCTTTATGTGCTAGGATGCTCTGTTATATATGTTAGAAGTAGTAGGGGTGAAATAGTTCCCGAATACCGGTTGAAAGATACCGAAGGGGTAGTTAGTACCCATACATGTCTAGCAGTATGATTATAACATGTTATTATGTGATAGTGGTAGTTAGGGGACTAGTCCCCGGGCCTGGTTGAGATAGAACGGCAGGGAAGGTCGAGCACCCCAGAATGGCCCGGCAGGGTAGGTCAAGCACCCCGGAATTGATTGACATGGGTAGGTCAGGCACCCCAGAACTGTCTGGCAGTATGTTTATTATATGGTCTGTGGTATGATGTGGGAACTTGATGATGTTTTCTATAATTTGTTTTATGAATTGTTAAATCAAAAATGAAATTTTTGGTCTCGAAATTAGGGATGTTACTCTTGTGGTATAATAATAATAATAATAATAACAATAATAATAATAATAATAATAATAATAATAATAATTATGAAAATAATAATAATAATAATAATAATAATAATAATAATTATGAAAATAATAATAATAATAATAATTATGAAAATAATAATAATAATAATAATAATAATGATTATGAAAATAATAATAATAATAATAATAATAATAATAATAATAATGAAAATAATAATAATAATATAATAATAATGATTATGAACATCAATAATAATAATACTGAAAATAATAATACTCATAAAATAATAATAATAATAATGAAAATAATAATAATATAATAATGAAATAATAATAATCCTAATAATAATAATAATAATAACTAATAATGAAATAATAATAATAATAATCCTAATAATAATAATAATAATTATGAAAATCCTAATAATAATAATAATCCTAATAATAATAACTAATAATAAAAGAATAATAATAATAATCAATAATAATTATGAAAATAATAATCAATAATAATAATAATAATGGAAATACTAATAATATTCCTAATAATAATAATAATATGAAAATAATAATAATAAATCCTAATAATAATATGAAAATAATAATAATAATTATGAAAATAATAATAATACTAATAATCGTAATAATCCTAATAATCATACCTGAAAATACTAATAATGAATAATCTAATCCTCCTAATCCTAATAATCCTAATAATCCTAATAATAATAATTATGAAAATAATAATAATCCTAACTAGATTGGTAACCCCCGCTTCGCGGGGGGCAGACGGACTAGATGTGTTCATATGATATCGGTTGTAACCTATGTTCAAGATATTTCGTATCTACTAAACGACACGTCTCTACCCATTTAGTCAAAATCTGTCAAAATCTGACCCCGACAATGTAAATTGTCAGCAAATTATGTTGCCATTCTGTTTAATTTGCCATCAATCAGACGTAACATTGTCATTGTGGTTAACATTTTTTCATTTCTCGGTTTTATATTATCAGCATTCAAACATTCCCTGCTTTTTTATAATAATCATGAAGTACCGAAGACTCAAAAAAAAAGTTAAAAGAACTATAAAACAAATTGTATGAAAATATATACAACGTTTATATAGAGAATGTGAAATGTAAATGAACGTTTATATAGAGAAAGAATCCTAAAGGAGTGAAGAAACTGAAGTTAGAAACGGTTTCTTCCGTTGTTGGGACCTACAACATCACAAAACCATATAAATTGATATTGCTTCACAAAAGGTTAAAATAGTCAACTTCACTCAAAAATTTATACAACTCCCATCCATGCTAATATAAGATCAAAAAAAATTGAAAAAATTCAGATTTAATATAAATCATGTGGGTATAAACCCACAACATTCATGAAGAAGAATATATTTTAGAATAAATATATGTTGGTTCAAACTATTGGCAGCAAATTGAATGCAACTAACTTTGCAACTAACTGGTTAAGTTGGGAGGTGGCAGATAAAAGGGGCAATAGGAAGGATACAAACCTCGAACATGAAAGAAGCGTTGTGTGTCTGTCATTTTCTGATACATCCCAACAAAAATTAAATCAAGGAACAACCCCTTACCTGCACCCTCCCTCACCTCAATATAATAATAACACATAACTGAAATACAAAAAAAAAAAAAAAATCAGAAGCATGAACTTACTTCAGGATGGCTTCTCAGAAAGGCGACCAACTTTCCACGCCCGCAAGCATTTTTTGTGAATTTGCTCTACAGCTGTCAACAGAGTAAACGGTTTTGGTCATCAAGTAATATGTTTTGCAATATTCGTCCTTAGTTGAAGTTTTTATATCATTTTCGGTTCATTTTCCAAGTTAGATGACTATTTTTTGCCCAAAAAAAATAGTGAATTTTCTTATATAACCTCAAATAAGTGACCAAGATTTGAAAAGAACACATTATGGGACTATAATTGAAAAAATGACCTGTACTCAGGGACAACATGTAATTTACTCTTAAATGAATTCATTTGCAGTTTCTAACTGATGTCCGTATATTTGTTCTACTTGAGCATAACACTTTTGTAAAAGAAGAGCAAACATGTTAATAGAAAAGATTAGAGGTATGGGCAAGTGAAAAGACAAAACTAACTTCTATAATTCTGCCACCTGTTGTTCATGCTCTACCTTAAGTTGCTTTATTTCATGTATGAAGATGTCAGCCACTTTTACAACAGTTTCTTTTTGTTCGACTGCATCATCTCATGAATCCTGTAATGTAATACTACAGGGTTAAATAGGGAATAACCTGGAAAAAAAAGATTTGAGATGAAAGACAAAGATTTACATTAACAGGAGCGAACTCACTTTGGAAGAATCTATAATGTCTCTTTAAGGTGATGTGATTGCAAAAGTTGTTTATGTATTGTTGAGTTGTCACCTAAAGAAGACAATCTGAAATCAGAAACTTGTTGGATAGTCAGAAAATGTGTCATACACAGATAGTATTGAGAATCCTCAATATTTGGAATTCTAAAAAAAAAAACCTTATTAAACTTTATTAGTTGGAATTCTCAAATTAGGAAAGTTTTAATGGCTACTCTTATATTCTCCCATTAAAATCCAATCCAATTACGAAAATGTCATGTAAATACAAAGTTATTTCTAATGTTATAATGTTAAAGCAGATGAATATGTAGTACACCTTTGTAGTTTCAGTGTAGTGAAGATAAATAAATAAAAAAAAGAAATTAGCCTCACCAAAATTGCACTTCACCCAAGTATCAGATTGCTTTTATTGGATTGCAAACAAAAATCAACTATATTTAAGGACAAAAAACTTAATCGACTCTTAAATATATAATCATGAAAATTATAAAACGTTTTACCTTATGGATGCTATCAAGAACAACAAAAAGGACAACATGTTTTTGAGCTTCAAGTGCAACCATACTTAATCCAACAGGTGTAACCACTACACCATTTGCCATGACAGTGTGGGCCCCAACAATAACCTATTACCAATTTCAAAACCAGGGTCAAAATGGTAAATTGACTGATTATTTGTTTTCTGTGAAATAAAATCCAGCTATCTTTTGAATTTCTGCAGCTGGGTTAGAAGCCTACCCTTTTGCCGAAGTCAAATCCAGCTGCTGTAACATTTAAAACCCAATAATTATCATAGTGGAATTCTATTGTCTAGTTATTTGAAGAAAATAGCTAGAAAATAGGTAGAAAAATTATCGGATTCATGCCGTTAAAAATTTTATAAATAAAAATGGGTACATCATGGTTTTTTATTCAATTCCATTCTATCACATTCCTTCGTAAAATACCTATTCCATTCCATCAAAGAAAACAAACAACCTTATTTCCACTCCAACGTAATTGAAACAAATACGTAACATGATTAAGATTCCAGACCTCTCTAACTTGATTATATTAATAATTTAATTAAAGAATTAAAAAATTAATTTAAAGAAATGAAGAAAAAAAGACAAAGATGTTCACTTTGTTTCATTTTCTTGTTATGTATGTTGTTTCGTGTTCCTCTGTTCTATAGATGTGCTTCAAAAAAAAAGATAATACATCAAAATATATGTAACATTGTATATCATAAAAAAAATATAAAGGATAAAAGAAAATTTCACCATGTTTCCGAGGGGTAACATTGAACCATTGACAACTACTTTTATACTTGCAGATTTCCCTGAAAAATAAAATAAGGTTAACTATTGAACATTTTTACTTATTTACCCCTAAACTTGATTCCAAATGTTCTGTAGACAACTAAAGTAGGGACCCATGATTCAGAATCATGTTTGAGGGAAACATTAATAACTTTTGTATGCCATTTATCTTTATGCTATGAAAATTATTACCTTTTTAAATACAATATATTACACATATTCCATTTATTTGTTTATTACCTTTTTTTTAAAAACACCAGTAACTTTTTCTAATCAATGGATTAATCTTTATATATTGTTATTTACTTATTTATGATTTCTCTAACTAAGTGATAGTCTGTATATAACATTTCTAATCAGAAGGTAATTGAAGTAATAGCAGAGATGTAAAATACATTGGACTATGACCATGTTCATCTTAAATTGGAGACGGTTAGCACCTCCTTTTGGAACATTTCATTGGGCAGTTGATGGGTAATATAAGTAAGCTTACATATATGTGACCTAAAGTCTATACAGCACCACAAAGCTTAGAAGCCTACTTTTTATAAGGTAGCTACATACCTTCCATTTGGAGTCTCATGGTAGACAACTGACAACGTCATTGATAGACATGTGAGCATCATCTTTGTCCTGTCTGCCTGTGTGGAAACTGGAAAGGGATATTTGGTCATTTGGTGTTCTCAACAGCAACAATGGCAAAAGACTGTACGGAAAAAAGGAGATAATTGGAAATCGAATTTGCAAAAAAAGTCACTTTCAGTTTGAATTTGAAGAGAACAGAATTAGAAATTAGAAATTAGAAATTGGATTTTCACTTAAAGCCCTAACTGAGAGTTCAAATTCAAATCATCGAGCATACAACTTCACAGCAGAGACGGATCATTTTACTAACCTTTTTCACTGTCGGAAATGAGGAGAGAATTGGGAATGTTGAAGATGAAAATGAAATTGAATTCAACAATAAGGTTTCTAATAGAAAAGAGAAAAAAAGTTCATGATGAAATAAAGGAAACTGAAATCAAAATAATAATCAAAATGAAGACCCATGTTGATTACCTTACGGAAGAAATCGAAATCAAATGAAGATCGAAAAGTGGAAAAGGCGATACCTGCAACGCATGAGAGAAGTCCATGTCGGTGGATTCCTGTCCAATATCGGTTCTCTATCGGTAGGTGTCGTAGAAACCTAATTTTCATGTCGTGTTGAAGGAGATGTCCAGATACAACAAACACACATGAAGAAACCACACTGGGAAGAAAAATGCGTGGAGCCATAATCGATTACAGAAAGAAAGAGATACGATTTCTGGAAAAGAAAGAGATGGAGGAACAGTTAAAGTATGAGAGAGAGAGAGAGAGAGAGAGAATCATCTGGTATTGGTTTTGTGAAGAGGAGAATCGATTTGAGCTAGCGGTGGTGGAAGGAACAAAAGAAGCGGTAGGAGAATCGATCGTTGATAATCACATAAACGTAGAGGAAAAAGTGTTTATGACGCTGTTAACAGAGAGAATCGATCGTTGATAATCATCCACTTAAAAATCAATCAAAGAGCATGAAACACATACCGATTCGGCCATAAGTCGGAAGCCCTAAATCGTCGATTTGAACGTGGAACATCCGGTGGTGGGGGCCGACGATTTTGAAACTTGCTCTCTAGGGTAGGAGTTGGTGTAGGTCAACGATTCTCAGAAGAAGAAGAAGAAACGTCAGAGCAAGCGGAGGGAAGATGGTCAGGCGAGAAGAGGAGAAGAGACGGTGATGGAAGAGAAGATCGAGAAAAGAATGAAACAGAAGAAATCAGATGAAGAAAAATCAGAAGAATCGAGAAGATAGGGAGGAAGTAAACTAACCTGGTGGAGGATTAAACCGGATGAACAGTACCATGGTCAGGTACTAAATTAAGGGACTAAATTGCCAAATAGAGGAAAACATAGGGACCTACAAGTACAGGGACCAAAATTGACAAAAAAGAAGCAGGTTTATTGTTACTTTTCTTCATAACTTTAATAATAACTAGAGTGGTAACCCCCGCTACGCGGGGGGGGGGGGGTAGAGGGAGTTGATATGGTCGTATGATATGGGGTGGAACTTTTAGCGAAAATATTCCGTATCCTTTTTAATATACAAAGAATCTGTTTATAGAGTAGATAAATATATTAGCAGATAAGGATGAAAATATATCATTCATTAATGGATCGTTATAGGGTATTCGATTACAAAAGAATCGATTCATACTGTTCCAACTCTTTTGTAATCGAATGCCCTGTAATGATCCTTTAATGAATCAACACTTTTGTTTCTGATATCCTGGCCTGTATTGACCGGAAAATTTTGAGCTGGTGGTGGTGCGACCAAAAGTTGGGGAGCTGCCATCTCCTGGTTTGGTCGGGCACTTGATATTTGCATCTATAAACATTAATTAGATTATTATTATTATTTTTAATCAAAATATAATAAAATTGAAAAACTTAACTTACTTGTTTTTCAAATATACCGATAACACTGCGGTCAACCAATAACTTTCTAAAATGTGAAGCAATTAGTTCAACTGCCTTGTGTACACCTTCACGTTCCCCTTGCACCTCCACAACACTATCATCAGACAGAGCAATTACAGGGAGCTTTTCTGCATCCAGAAAACACAATTATAAATTATAATTGACCTTTTATTTTAAGAATATTATAATATATTTTTCAGTAAAACCTTGTCCGAGCACTCGAATTACACAACCGGAAGAATCTTGGATGGTTTTTATGGTGGCGCCCTGCTTTCCTATCAAGTTCCCGGCTTGTGCTGATTGTACCTCCAGCTGGCGGATGAGCACGGTCAGCATCCACATCCGTTACCCATTTATGGATTTTCAGTAAACCAACCATTGCAGGAGGAACTGAAGCATCTGGTTCTTGTTTTGCAGAAATCAAGACCCGATAAAACAGAATACTTCTGATTAGTAACATGGTAATAGACTTCTTATTTTACTTTAGGACTAACAACAAAACGGTTTCAATAAGAAGCTAGCATAGAATAAAATGGAAGTAAGATGCTACTGTACAAAAATGAATGAAAGTATTTAGCATACTTTCATTCATTTTTGTACAGTAGCATCTTACTTCCATTTTATTCTATTATGACATCGTACTTTCGATTTTTTTTACTTTAAAAGTTGCATTATAAAAGTTCCAATAATATATAAATAAATAAAAATCGATATTTTGACCAATCAAGTAAATAAAATGACTAACCTGATGTAGGCTTTTAATTGTGTGGAGAAGAAAACCTGTAAAACCAACCATGTATCAGATCTGCATCGAAATATCACCAAAATTCGACATTATATCAATGTTAATAGACATAAAAAAAACCTAGATAAATGTTGAAGTTTGAACTTTTTACAAATTTGCCCTCGTTAATGTACCTCCATTGCAATTCCATAAGTTGCTCCCATGAGTTTTAAACTACTTTTTCTCAACTCCTCCAACACCCGTGAAACTCCCTTCCACTGACCGGAGAAAGTAAACACATTCAACACCTACAAAAAAAAATTTAAAAACATTATTTAAAATAAATAACAAAAGTATACAAATTTGAACTATAAGTCTTTTAAAAATTTCTCTTACAGTATCATATACGACCAAATCGAGTTCAACAGCAGGATCCTAGTTTTTGTGAAATCATCCTTACGCTTACCAGATTGTTGCTAATCTGCAAAAAATTAAAAAATAAATAAATAAACAAATAAAATAAAACACCTTAACAAACAATGTTGAGGGTAACATAATACAGATAACATGGACAGAGAAACCAAAAACAAACAAAATTAAAGATTGATAAGTAGTCTATTTGTATAAAAGAAAAATCTTTAAACAAACTTACAAAGTTTTTGCATACGTCACATCTTCGGTGATGTTGTTCTTTATAGCATGATCTATGAAATGGTCGGTTTTCAGACATGGAGAACTACATAAAAACATTTCAATTTAACTTGTAATGTCAAATTAATCATGGATTTTTATTTTATATTATTATTTTTTGTTTAGGGTATAAATTTAGACCTCATCATCAGATATTGGTAGATTGCAAGCATGACAACGAATACATTCGGGATGCCAAACTCCTCCCATGCAACTTAGGAATCTCCCATGGCCGATTTCAACATTGCAACCAGCACATATCCTGTAATTTAGGGATACAAAATGAAATTCAATAATGAAAAGTAAATGCAATATTTTCAAATTTTTATTTATTTATATCTAGATACAATTTGTTTAGTGTAAATATAATATAATGTAATTTTTATTATTACATTGTTTTTTGTTGACAAATGGATTAAAATTTTACCGAAATCCTTAAAATTCATGTTTAATGAATTTCATCCTTCCTAAAAAGATACCTAGAAAATAATTATATTCTTTTATTTTTATTAAATAACAAAATATCCTTATTATATACATTGAAATAAATAAAACAGAATCATTTATACAAATTTACAAAAAAAAATTAAAATATTTAATAAAAAAAGTTAAATCCGTTCTATTTCATTTATATTTTGTCAAATGCGAGAAGAATTTTGACCTGAATTTGTTTGACATATTTCATTTGTTTCAAAAACTTTTTATCAACCAAAGCTTGTAATCAAATTCCTTTGATCCTCACATTAGGATTGATGAAATCCATTAGACATGGAGTTTAAAGGATTTCAACGGAATTAAACTATTCCTGGAATGGAATCACAATTCCGATTCCATTGGAATCTGTAAGATTCTCAACTAAACATGCACACATTCTTTTGTTGGTTAATTGGAGTGATATGAACATAGCAATTATGATTAATAACACAATGAATTCTCCATATATACCTATATCCACCGGAATAGGAGTGTGACATAAGCGGAATCACGTGTCCATAATCATTCCGTGCTGGTAAAACATCGACATTCAAACTTTCTTCAAGGGCCTTGGCAAGCTCTTCATCTTCGTCAATGTTGCTTTTTTGCATCTTCTTCTAAAAGGTAAAGTGCAATTGCTCGATCAATTTCTTCACTATCAAAGTCCAATAATGTCTCCTACATCATCAAAACAACCAAATAATGAAAACTACACATAAAACCAAACAAAACAGAGGAATTGAATCACTGATTACCAAGGTTGTTGGATTACACTCCCATATTCCTTCTTCATCTCCATATCTTCCATGGTGTTTCCCTGAGATTTTAGCACTCAAACCAAATCCGAGCAAAAGTTAATTGATCAGAAGGAAATTTTATTTCAATGAATAAGCTATAAATAATTGCATGAACACCTCAATCACAGCAATTCTTGACAACATGGTGTGGGTGTCAATTATGATTTATTTGAAGGCCTATTCAAAATTATAGCGTTTTTCTCTGTTGACAGCTTAAAAATAAAATTACATATTTATCCATTATCATCATCAAATATGTTTAAATCTTCCAAAGGAGATTGAAACAGAGTGCAGAAGTTCTGTTCCAGTGACATACACTTTCCCATTGTTTCCAGCTATAATTGTTAAATTCTTCCCAAATGAGCTATATATTTCCCCTACAAAACAATCAATCAAATCATTCATACCATACTACTTTAGGCTTATTAGCAACCAACATCATCAATTCAAATTTCAAAAGTGGATATGTAAATTTCTATACCTTTGGTGCCAGCACCAAGCAGTAAAGCCCCCATACTGTGATGTGTCATTGGAATTGGTCAACAAAAGCCAAATAAATGGAAAACAAATATTGTATGAAATTGTACAATTTACCTAACAGCAAGCCCGACACATACAGTTGAGACGCCACAATATCATCTTCAATGCATCACTTAAATTTCTACAAAATTTATTTGGGAAAGACATGGATCTCATCAAACCTTGTTAGGATCAACAACATCAAGGTACAGAAGCTGAGCAAGAATGATGTTTGGCATGTCATCATCAATAGCTCCACCACAACGGATAATTATCTATAAACACCACCACATACAGGTCAGGTATATTACATAAGTAGTAACCCAACCAAAGAAAGTGAAGTAAGAAGTCACAGGTGTAAGTAAGGATAAAGATAAAGATGAAGCAACTCACATATTGAAAAAACTGACTGGTAACACTCTGGAACCGTTCTTGCATCATTGGGGGGTGACCCTTGACCTTGTGCATATGCTGGGAGATGGGGAAGACAGCCTTCATCTTCGAAATGTTATGGTGACCTAAGCATCATATTAGAACAAAATAGCACCAGTGGAGCTAGGTAAAGTGGTGGTCGGTGTCCAAATTTAGGGTTAAAGAGAGAAAGATACAGGAAGAGGTAGTGTAAGATGCGGTTTAGTGATGGTAGTGTATGGGTGGTCATGTTTTTCAAAACAAAATGGAAAAAGAAAAAGAAGAAAACAATAAATTCAAAGTATAGTACTATTTATTGCATTTATAATAAAAAAATGGAAGATGTACGAAATGACAATCTATGCTTGTTTTTTGGTGAAGGAATTAAAAGAAATTGCAAAAAATAGAAACAAATACATATAAATTCAAAGCATGTTGCTATTTAGGGTATTGAAACATGTTTAGACATGTGGACAGATCTTGAGCAAGTCTTGTCCAGCCTTTTTGGGACAGGAAAAAGATTGAAACTTTTGTCTCATTGATCTCTCAGATTGATCAAAACCCTTAAATGAAAAAATATTTAATTTAAGGATGCTCCTTTCTGATGAAAGAATGTAATATTGGAGGGAAAACAATAAAGGAAAAAAGAAAGAAAGAAAGCAGACAACAAGGTAAAGGAAAAGAAAGCAAGTGATTCCATCAAAGAAACAGTCCATTCCCATATACAAACTGATCAAAATTACTTTTACATCTATCCATAAATTGTACCACCCATCAAAGACATAAGTTGTTGTTTTTTTTTTGAAAGTTTACATACGAACCTAGTAATCCATATGTTTCATCTGCAACAGAAGTTGGACATTTAGTTTGTAATTTATATTTTTCTTTTTTATGATTTTCAATAATGTATTCATGCTACTGTCATTTTTTGACATAACAAAACATTTAATATAAATTTTTTCTGGCAGCAGGAGAGCTGTTGGCTTAATGAGGCTTCACTATAGTTGGTAGAACAGTTGGTCAATTTTATGCAGTGCTATAACTGACTGAATAAGTATGCATTCGAACTATGAGTGTGTTACAGTTTGTATGATATCTATTAACCAATTTCAAGAACAAAATGACACCATAGACATGACAACAAAAATGGCTTTTCAAGTCATTCTATAATTTAGTAAGTGAAATAGTGAATAAACAATATGCCAATGGAACTGATATAAAAACTAAATTTAAAAAAATGACACAAAAGTTTTATTTAAAACTTACCAAATTGGCCATGTACGATTCAATTTTTTTTAATTCACAAAGGAAACATATAGTGCAAGTAAGAAGCGTCCAAATCCCAAATGTTCGCCCATGGATATGAGACACTACATATAAAACAAAATGTAATTAGGTCAATGGGTTTACCAAATTGGCCATGTACGATTCAACAATAATAACATTATTTAATTCTTTGTTCTTATAAACATAGAAACCAAACAAATAATCCAAAAGAAGGCACTCTATTAATTGTTTAGATCGAAAAAGGCATCAGAATTTCCGGAATTCGAAGCAGATGGAGATAACAGGAAACAAAATGTTAGAAATTACTGGAAAAAAAACGGTTGACATTAGAAAGTTGATTTCCCCTCAATCTGCGTTGACTTGTGTTTCCCGCTTCACGATAGACACCCTCGAGCGAGACCGCCTTTCCTTCGCTGTCGTCCATCTCCGACCAGAAACCATCAAGTTCTTATCATACAAAAATTAGACAATCCTTTTTACAAACAAATTAAGTTTACAAATGGTTGTCTGCGAGAAGAAAAACAAAACAACAATCCAACAGAAATCGAAAATCATATGTAAAGTACAAACAACATACCAAAAATCAAAATCCCAACAGATGAGAGATGGTTGTCTGCGAAAAGAGTCGACACCCTAAACCCTTACCTGAGGACGCAGCGGAACGTCGAAGAGGCGGTGGGAATAACTCTTCTTCGCTTCATATTCCTCGTCTTCCTCATCCCCTTCCACCGGGGGAATCGGTGCAGGTGGTGCCGGTGGCGGTGGCGCCGCAGCTTCAAAAGATGATTAGAAGAACTTGTGGATTGAGGCGGCGAATCGAACGTTTTGCGGTGCAATTGACGTTCCAAATGAATAGCAAGAGCGGTGAGGTGAGCGGTGGGAATTTGGAGCAGCAGTGGTAGAAGGATCGGGAAGTAATAACCTAACCACTAAAGCATTTGGGGCGGTGGACTCAAATTTTCCATAAAACCCCCCAAAAAATAAACGAACTCGAAATTGCAACCAAACATATAAACAGGGGCCATTTTTGCCAACATCTTAGGAACTTTACTGTTCCTTTTCTTCATAACTTTAATATATATATATATAATAATAATAATATAATAATGGAAATAATAATAATAATAATAATAATAATTATGAAAATAATAATAATAATAATAATAAAGGAAATGAAAGGAGGTTAGTATTGTATAAATATTTTTATGGAGCTCTTATAGTCGGATGTGGCATGCCCGGCCGAATGGTTTGATACTCTTGGTCTATATTTACGTCCGTCTCCCGAGTTCGATCCTCACCCGCTTTTTTTTTGTTCCCGCTTCGTTCCCTCAAATGACTTCCCCAAATTTTCCGCTTCGTTCTCTCAAATATTCGGCTAGGTTTTGCACTCCCGCTTAATTACGTCGCGCCTCCCATCTCCCACACCTTCTCGTTTTCTGCCTTCCACTCCATTCTAGGGTTTGAAGCTGGAGCGTATCTCACGTCAACCTCCAAAGACCACTGCCGCCGTTCTTCAGCCCTGCCCCTCCGCTAGCGCCGCTTGAATCGCTCCCCTTAGGCCGTTACCAATTAACCATAAATACCATAGCAGGCTTCAATCGTTCTGTTCAATCGAAGCTTCAATCGCTCCTGTCATCGTTTTGTTCAGTCAGTAGGCTCAGCCGAAGGTTCAAACCTGCTCAATCGACGGCTAACCATGCTCAATCGCCGGCCAAACCTGCTCAATCGGTAAGATTCATTTGTTCTGTAATATATATTTTTATCATTCGGCTCAATCGAATTCATCTTACAAATTATTCCCCAATTATTCCAGTTGAAATACTTATCATAAAGTTTAATGTGGCTAGCGAACCCTAATCGTAACTTGCAACTTCAATTTCCTAATCATACCACAATTCGCATTTTATTATAGGGCTCTAAGTCGAAATTGAGAGTTTCAACATCTAACTGTACATTTGATCTTAAACAACAGAAAGCAAACTCAAGATAACTTAAAATCGTTCTTCGAATTCAAGTCACAAGTTCTCCAAGTCACAAATGAATTCAACAAAAAATGAGCTAACAGAAAAATAGCGATTTCCAGATTCAGGGTAAGGGAGGTACTTGATACTTCAAGAGCGAGTAAACGCCACCATCCGAGGGAGTAGTCGCCACCGGAGAATCCACCACCCATCAACGTCGTTTGTTCTCCGTTTGTCGAGACTCACAGGTATGTCCTAATTTTTCCTTAAATCTATTTTCATGTTTTTTTGTTAACATGGTCTATAACAGGCATTTGGTGTAGTTGCTTCCATGATCAGTTTAACTAAAATGGTGTTGAAACATCTATCGAGTCTTTCATTAGTTATACATTATAAGCTGTGAGAACAAGATCGATGCGCAAGGACAAGGTTTGAAAGCTCAAACCTTGAGTGAATGTTTAAGATCAATGTCTGCTTGCTAATGCAGATTCAAGTTAAGTCTGGAAAAACCAGTCAAGTCTTAGATATTGTATTCAGCAAACGATCAAGTCATTTAATAAGCAATGAGAATAACTGATCAAAGTAAAGATAATAAATGGAGAACAAGAAGAATGTTTGAAGTAAACTTTTAACGAGAATAACAAAAGTGAGTGAAAGATCCGTAATTGACTTGTATTGAATGCTCCTATATATAGGAGTGAAAGTTACATCGAATTAACCCAGGTGTTTACATAGGACCGGACAAAAGAGATCAGTCTGACATTCTGATTGTCCAAATACAACTATAGACTAAATCCTATGAAACGTTACACCAAATACAAGACAAAAGTAATAAATGCACAAAAGACAAAACATTGATGTTCCGGATCAGCATGCATTCTGGACATGAGGGTCAGCTCCGGAATGCCTTCATTCTTCTCATCTTCTTCTTACTTGGTCCGGACAGGTTCCGGACCACTCTCTACTTCGGAATGTACACGCTTCGGAATAGGGACTTAGGATTGCTAGAGGTTCACTTTCGAGTTCTAACATAAGTGTGTTTCAAATTAAGCAACTATGGATCATATCTTACCTTTCTACAGGTGGTTGTATCATGGAGTATTGGAAACACGTTCCTGCATTTCAGCCTTGCAAGTGACCTATGTGCTCCGATCCAATTATCAAATTGACCCTGGAAGCAACATTATCCCAACAGGATGCAGGGATCCATGATGTTCTCAAGAATGTTAGGCAGTACAATTGCCTTTTTGCTGGTGGTGCTTGCAGTTTCATTCTGGTAGGTTACTTGACTGTTGGCACCAGACATTGAAGAGGGTAGTTTCGTCTTTTCCCTAAGTTTTTTCTTCTTGAAGCAATTCTGAAGAAATCTGATGCTTGTGAGTTTCTTGTGACAGCAAGTGCTTTAGTTGCCTTTATTTGTCAAGAGATTGCTTCAAGCAATGGTGGATCCTGATAGACCTGTTGCTTATCTTAGCAGATTGCTTTAGTTGCAGTTAAGAAATAGCAACATTCTTTCATTTACTTGTTTATTATGATTTAATGCATTTAGGTGCTAAGTTTTGAAGGAATTGTTGAATCTTATTACTTGTTTGCAGGTGTTTTCTTGGTGCTCTTTATACACTTAGCCCTTTTGACATCCTCCCATGATGTAAGTTATCTATTCAATGCTGTTTAATACAAAGGTGTGCAATTTGTACCTTTATTAACATTTAAGTTTCTTCTTCTTGTTATTATTTTTAATAATTACAATTGGTTTATTCTAGGTTGGAGCCCGTGTTCGTTGTTGCTATTTTTCCTATTTTTGGTGTATTTTATATCGTATTTGGGACAAATGTGAATTGAATATGGTATTTAACAAAAAATTGGAAATTTTTAAATTTTTAATTTTTTTATAAATAAAACGAAGTTAGCTACGGAATGGCTACGGATTTCTGTAGCTATTTAGTTCTGTAGCTATTCCGTAACTATTTATTTCCGTAGCTATTTCGTAGCTATTTGGATCCGTAGCTATTCTGTAGCTATTTAGTTCCGTAGCTATTCTGTAGGAAATTCGTAGCTATTTAGTTTCGTAGCTATTCCATAGCGATTCTGTAGCTAATCCGTAGCTATAATTTAGCCACGGGCCATTATGCTACAGACATTTTTTCGTAGCAATTCCGTAGCTATCCGTTATAGCTACGGAATAGCTACGGATTGTGCTGTAGCTATTGCACAAGTTTTCTAGTGGTGTTAATGGAGAAAAAAACAATGCATCTATTAAATGCATATGTTTTTTTTTCAAAGCTTCATTATCAGTAACACCCCCTCAACGAATTAAGCTTTTCTTTCCTTCTTAAAGCATGCTCGAAGCTCAAACTACTCCCTTATGGCCAAATGCTTTGAAGATGTGGGTGTCTGTAGACTCAGAGTCAATAAAACGAATATCACTTTTTGTTTTAAACAACAGATTTCGTGCTATAAGCATTGAGTCTTAAACTCTCATGATGATGTGTTATTGGATATGAGTATGCTGGAAGCCAAATATGGTTCATCAATGGAGTTTGAGAGACACATATAATTGATAATAAGAGTACAAGATTTCATGCCCACCAACTGTTTGATGTAATTCCTTAATCAAGTTTTTCTTTTCATTTATTTGTTGATTGATTGGAGTCTTATTTATTTTTCTTCATCCATTCATATCGGTTATTGGTTAATTCTTTTGCGGATACTAGGAAAATCCTACCTACTAACAAGTGGTTTAATTTGTCAATTGCTTCTCACTCTCAGATCACCTCTTCAGTATGTATTACCAAATAAAATTTTCTTCAAAGACTAAAAATATAAATATTTTAAACTTTCTTTTCTTTTTTCAACTTTAGACCACACCAAAAAGGTTGCCAAGAGTTATTGACCAAACAAAGGGGTCTTTTGGATTACGTGGAGAAAAAGTGCAAGAAATATATTTATACTCCAAAATTGAGATATGTTTATATCACAGACAAGTATACTAAAATGAATAAACTAGGGAAAGCTTTCTAGCCCATTTAGATAATTTTACACCAGTGATCAAACATCTGGTAGCTTTGTAGATGTATTCAGGGAAGTCTTTTCTTTGGTAACTCAAATTCTGCAACAACTATTCCTGTTGACATTGAACAATCGGTTCCTGAGGTTGCTATTGGAAGTGATCCAAGCACCTTAACACAACCTTATGCTACATTTCACACTCGCTTTGTTGGTTAAGGTACAAACATGTATATATTTTTACTATGAGGGTATTTTGGTCTTAGATGATGTTTGTTTGTTTTTTTTTTTTCCAATCATTTTACAAGTAATAAACTGTTATATCAACAATCAATGAATTAGTAAATATCACACCAATATATGTTTAAGTACAACAAAAAGTAGAATAATGTCTTAATCGATGTGTACGTTTTTTCATAAATTCCGTACGAAAAACTTCATAAATCTTGGATTCTATAGACAACATCGCTTGTGCGTTTTTATCATTTGGCTGTTTTTACACCTTAAAAAGGTTGAATTTATGATATGCATCCAACTCACCATGTGTTTGGTTCTCTTTATGTATATTTCGTATAATTATAATATGTTACAATCAAATCTTAGTAAGTGCAAAAACGATTTTGTAGGTTATACTACAAATATTTTAGTCGAAGGTGCTTCACAAATCACAAATCATGTACTTGTTTGCTGAAATCATGCATTGTAATTTGTCAATCATACATTTGTATATATATGTACCAAAGTTACTAGTGTTTTTTTGGTGCACCATTGTTTGTATTTCTATTAGTTTTAGAAAGTTAATGGTGGGGTATTAAAACTTGAATCAACAAACGAAACACATATTTCTTTGCTTTAGGTGTAACAGTAGAATAATAATATATAATCTAATATCACTTTTGTTTTTTTTTGTCTGTTATTAATATTCTTTTATCTTTTTTTTGTAAGATTATTGCATGATGTAGGCGATGGTCCATTCAACCATTTGTTTGAGATAAAATTTCTTCCTCAAGTTATCCCTGGCTATAAATGGTAATTCTTTCTAGATATTTTTGAGGGCTTGTTTAGTTATCAAATGGATGGATTTCAGTTCTGTCAGAATCCTTTAAATACCATGATGGATTTCACAATTCCCAGGGGAAGGTGCAAGGAATTTAATTTTTGTTTGCCTTTTTATTAAAAGACGAATACATCCTCAATATATAGTTTTTTATAAGCATATGTATATATACTTATGCATATACATATGCATATACTTATTAATATACATATACTTATTATTATATATAGGCATATGCTTATTCATATGCACATGAATATGCATATGTCATATACTTATTCTTATTCATATGCATATGCATATGAATATGTCATATACTTATTCTTATTCATATGCATATGCATATGCATATGGTATATGCTTATTCTTATGCATATAGTTATTAATATGCATATGCATATACTTATGAATATGCATATACTTATTCTTATGCATATGCATATGTTTATTAATATGCATATGAATATACATATGTCATATACTTATTCTTATTCATACGCATATGCGTATGCATATGTCATATACTTATTCTTATTCATATGCATACGTATATGCATATACTTATTCATATGCATATGCATATGCTTATTCATATGCATATGTCATATAGTTATTCTTATGCATATGCATATGCATATACATATGCATATCCATATGCATATTGATAAACATATGCATATGTATATACTTATTCATATGCATATAGTTATTTGTATGCACATGCATATCCATATTCATATACATATACATATAGTTATTCATATGCATATTTCTTATACTTACTCTTATGCATATGCATATACATAAGCATGATCATAATCATATGTATTTAATTGCCTTATGCATATACTTATTCTTATGCATTTATTTATTCATATGTATATGTATATGCATGTGTTTTTTAAAAATATGCAGATACAAAAAAAATATATAATTATGCATTAAAAATGCATTTTGTGAAAAAATCTTTTTTTCAAATATTAATTTCGAAATGTAAGGAATACTTTCGTTGATTTAAAAAATATTTTAAAAAAATTTTAAAAATAAAAAAATTAAATTTTTTTCAAATATATGAAAATATACCTTGTATTTCGTAAATAATATTAAAAAGTGGTATTACAATAGCTACTTCTACTTGTCTTGGTAACTTGATAAAATAGAAGATGAAAATATAAGATCAAAAATTAGCTTTTTACTAAATCTTGACCTAATTCAAACGAATTAGTAACAATGTATATGGATATGCATATGTATATGTATATGTATATACATATGCATATGTCCCAAGATTCATATACTTATTCATATGTATATGCATATACATATGCATAATATGCATATGCATATATATATATATATATATATATATATATATATATATATATATATATATATATATATATGCATATGACATATACTTATTCTTATGCATATGTATATTTATATACTTATTCATATGCACATGAATATGCATATGAAATAAGTGTATGCATATATGTATATGCAAATACTTATTATTATGCATATGAAGATACTTATTTATATGCATATATGTATATGCATATACTTATTATTATGCATATGCAGATACTTATTTATACGCATATACATATACTTATTCATATAATATGCATATACTTATTATGCATATGCATCTACTTATTTATATGCATATGCATATACATAAGCATAATCATATGTATTTAATTGTAATAGGTATATATTTATTCATATATATATATATATATATATATATATATATATATATATATATTATATACATATGCATATGTATATGCATATGTATTCATATGTATATGTATACACTTACTTTTATGCATACATATAGGAGCATTAAAAATGTTTTTTTTTTAAAATATGCATATGCATATGCACATGTTTTAAAAAATATGCATATACAATATATATATATATATATATATATATATATATATATATATATATATATATATATATATATATATATATGCTTTAAAAAATCATTTTTTTGAAAAATTCTATTTTTAAATATTAATTTTGAAATGTAAAGACTATCTTTGCGGATTTAAAAAAAAATAAAAATTTTTAAAAAAATTTAAAAATAAAAAATATAAAAAATATATATTTTTTTCAAATAAGTGAATATATACCTTATATTTTGAAATCAAGATTTAAAAAAAGATTTTTTCAAAAAAAATGCATTTTTAATGCATATTCATATTTTTTTTGTGCAAATACACATTTTCAAATAAAAAGTACATAAGTACATTAATATAATTTTTTTTTCATTTTTTTGTACTTGTCCTAGATGTATGTATGTACATGCATATATGAAATTTGGTACCTAAATTCACTATAGATAAAAAGTTTGTTGGTTCTCTCCCTCAATTTAGTTCTCCACTATATATATATATATATATATATATATATATATATATATATATATATATATATATATAAAGGAGTAAATTACACGAATGGTCCCTATGGTTTGGGGTAATTTGCACGTTTAGTCCCTAACTTATTTTTTAACTCGGAAGGTTCTTACTGTTTGTTTTTGTTGCGCACACAGTCCCTGTCTTACCTGAAAAGACAATAATACCCTTATTGGTTTATTTTATAATTTATTTACTATTTCGTAACAATTAATAATTTAAAAAATTATTTTATTTAAACAATAAAAGAAAAGAAAATAAAACAACCCACATTCACTCTTACCCTCACCCCCACCCTATCTGCTCCTGTTAAACCTAATAATCCTGCAACCCTATAATACATCGACATTATTATTGTACTTTTAGACAAAAAGGCGTGGTTTTGCAAAATCCAGCCACTAATTTGCAGATCCGACCACCTCTATCCCACCACCTCTATCCCACCACCATTGATTTGAAGATATAACCGCCAATTTATGCTTTGAATCTATCGTTTTATCAATGAAACCTTCTGAGAATTGTTACTGAATCTCTATCTCTTTTCTCTTTTACATCTATTTGAAGTAGAGTTTATTTAGAACTGATTTGATCATAAAGTCTATAATTGATCAATGGTTTCAACTCGTTTTCTTTTAACTTCTAGAATGTAATGTGGATTGGAGAGACGGAGACCCCTTGTTCAGCATATGCTTTCTCGCCGGTGAAACCTTTTGTTTCAGCAGCCACAAAATCTAAGAATCCATCGTCTTCTTCCAAATCACCATTGAAAATCGATATTACTTCGACTCTCCTCCACCTTTGAAAACAGGTTTCTTAACTGATCTGAAAACACAATCTGAAAACGAATTTCTTCCCCGATCTGAATCCACCATCTATATAGGTTGTGAAATAAACTTCTAGTTGTTGTGAAATAAACTCGCAGAAGGTGGAAAGAATCAAAAAAATCTTTTGATGTTACACATTGAAATAAACTTACACTATGGAGGGTGGATTCTGAGGGTTTTCAAGTGAGAGAAAGAGCAAAAGAGTGTAATGGGAGCTCTACATATTTATGAATTCAAATTAGGAATTTTGGGATTTATATATAATATCGATTGGGGATTAAGAATTTTGTGTGGGTGGTCGTCGGATATGAAGGAATGGGGTGTTGGTGGACGACTGAGTTGTCGGAGTAGATGGTTCTAGGGGATTGGAGTTTGACGTGAGATGGTTATTACGTATAGGTTTGTTGGAATTGAGATAACGTGAAGGAATAAGAAGGGATGCAGAGGCAGGGTTAGGGATTGGGGTGTATTTATGTAAATAATATTTAAATAATAAATTAATAAGGGCATAATAGTCTTTTTAGGTAAGATAGGGACAAAGCGCGACAAAAACAAACAATAGGAACCTTCCGAGTTAAAAAATAAGTTAGGGACCAAACGTGCAAATTACCCCAAACCTTAGGGACCATTCGTGTAATTTACTATATATATATGTATATATATATATTATATATATATATATATATATATATATATATCTATAGAGAGAGAGAGAGAGAGAGAGAGAGAGAGAGCTAGGTTCAGGTATTCAAAGTAAATACTGTGATATTGTATGCATAAATGTCGGCTAATCAAAATTTAAAATAAAAACAAATAATTAAATAAATAAATAAGGGTAAATAGGTAATTTGATAACTAGTTTCCACAAATAATATCCTATAATTATGGTAACCATTGACTTCA